TTAAAGCCTACCCATAGTACATGTTCGATTTTAAAAGAGGCATGGTTGGTTTTCTAGGTGACTTCTACCAGCCAGTCGATGAATAGATCATTCCAATTTCATAAAGAATTTTCCAGACCATAAAAAATGAAAGAACTCATTTTATGAGGTGAGTTGAATTTTGATTCCAAGCCAGGGAAGGACAGTATAAAAAGGGAAAATTGTAGGTCGATGTAATTTATGAGATAGATTTTAAAAAATCATTCAAAATATGAACAATTCAAATGTGGTAACCCACTAAAAAAATCACTCATGACCAAACTGGATTTTGTTAGGAGTAAAAGAATACATTAACACCATATGCCATAATTCACTATATAAAAATCATACAATTATTGAAATAGATACAAAAAAAGACATTTCAAAAATTTAACTCAACTTTTAATAAAAGCTCTGAGAAAGCTATAAATGGGAAAGGACTTTTAAAACTTGATATAGGTTATCTACAAAAATTCGCAGCAAACATAATACTTCAGGACACAACCTCTAGACACTCAGCCTTTAAAATTTGGAACAAGCCAAGAAGATACTTGAATCCAGTAGAGTAAAACAAGAGAAATAAATACAAGGTATAAAAAGGAAAACAATGACATTATTGCCAGTTTCATTGCATCAACAGCCATATTATTCAAATTAATAAAAGTTTCCCAAAGTCTCTGTGTGTAAAAACAAAAGAAACAAAAATTTAAGGTACAAAAGTCTGTTAAAGAGAAAATAATAAAGTGTTGCTGAAGGACAGTGAGAAGACCTAAATAAAGGCAAAGATCTATTATGTTCATTTATGTGAAGGCATAAATGAAGGCAGAGATCTATTATGTTCGATATCTTTAAAATGTCAGTTGTCCCACTTTAATTCATAAATTCAATGCAATTCTCATCAAAATTCTTACACGACTTTTTATGGAACTAGACAAACTGAAATTAAAATGTATATGCTCAGTATGTGCTAATTAGAAGAGTCATTCCTCAAACTTACAGACCTGCAAAGACTAAAAGTCGAAGGATGGAAAAATGACCTTTCAGAAAAATGCCTACCAAGAGAAACCTGGGATGACTACCTTAATAACATTCCATAAACCTTAAGACAAAAATATTCTTTTTCATGAAGAGGGATACAAATATTTTAATTTAACAATAAGATATAGCAACATTTACCATGCCTATTCTTAGTAGAATAGCCTCCAAACATACACAGAAAGAAATTAATAGACTGACAGGGAAAAAGTAATCCAGTATCTATACTCCAATCCATAAACTAGATGTAAACAATAATATTCTAGTGGGATATTTCAACACATTCTATGTATAGGCCAAGAAGAGGAAGAACCTGCAAGGGTAACTTACAGGGACATAATTAGAGTTAGGCAACCAACAAATAAAGAATATTTTTTCCCAAGTATACACATAAAAATATACAAAAATCAATGGTGCATGCGGCCATAAAGAGAGTCTCTGTGTATGTCTAAATACAGACCCTCCCTGACTTACCATGCTTCCATCTAACGATTTTGTTGACTTTACGATGGTGCAAAAGCTATTCCATTTTCACTTTCAGTACAGCATTTAATAAAGTATATAAGACATACAATACTTTATTACAAAAATGGACTTTCTTTTAGATGAGTTAGCACAACTGTAGGCTAATGTAAGTATTCTGACCATATTTAAGGTAGGCTAGGCTAAGCTACAATGTTCAGTAAATTAGGTGTAATGACTATTAAATGTATTTTTGACTTACAGTATTTTCGATTTTTAATGGGTTTATTGAGACATAACTCCATCTTAAGTTGAAGAGCATCTCTTTGTGTGTCTGTGTGTGTGTGCAGAACAAGCTCTCTGACCGCCATGCAATCAAGATTTTAAAACAAAAAGACAAGTTAAAAATCACCCATATATTTAGAAATTGAAACACCATGACTAAATAACTCCTGGGGTCAAAATAATTAAAACAATTAAAATGTAAAAGGATCCATAACTGATTTACAATATAGACACTACATATCAAAACTTTGTGGGTTTACTCTTCTGGTACGCAGTGTGAGCCTCCACAGAACAGTCCTATTGCTTATAATAACTACAAACAATGGACGGAGTGTAAAACCCAACTACCTAAGTAAACTAAGAGTACCCAAAAGAAGGCAGACTGTGGAGTGGCACCAAAACCTAGAGAAGCAATTGACCAGGGAGTGAGTTTCTCCTTGTTGGTGGCTTTGCTGAGCGTGGACCACAGTCAAGGAAAGGTGCACAGCAATCAGCTGGAACTCTGTCTGGCCTGCGATGGAGGAAAGGAGTTCTGGGAGATTTCCACTAGTGAAGAGTAAATCAAAAAGAAACATTAAAATGAAACAATATTATTTGCATGTACGTATACACACACACCAGGGCCTCAGATAATATTGTTTGATGTTGATTGATATTGGTCAATTCCTGAGTTTTTATTGGAGTGTTCTTTCTATTTATTTATTATTCTATTTATTCTTTTTTAAAATAAAACTCAACTTTCATCTGGAACTATATATCATTATATTTAATAGCTATGTAAATATATGCAATTATATATAATATATTACATTAATCATATATTATATACTATATAACAATTATATAGTATATATTCTTAAATATTATATATAATTTATATATTATTATATGTATCTCCAGATTAGAAAGTTGAGTTTTACAAAATAAGAAAAGTATAAAATGAAACACAAAAGTTTTCACCTTAGTGAGCTAGGAAAAGGGTAGAGTAAACCCAAAGTATTACAGAAAGAAGAAAATAATAAAGGTAAGAACACAGATCAATGAAATAGAAAAGAGACAGGTGTGGGGTGAGGAGGGTTAGGAGGATATGTTGAGTGGTAGATATGTTCATTATATTGATTACCGCTATTATGGATGAAATGTTTATGTGCCCCTACAATTCATATGTAGAAGCCCAAACCCCCAATGTGATTGTGTTTGGAGATGGGGTTTTGGGGGGTTATTAGGGTTAGACGAGGTTGTGAGGGTGGGGCCCTGGTTTGATGGGATTAGTGCCTTTCTAAAAAAAGATATTAGAGAGCTTGCTCTCATGCTGTGTACACATCAAGGAAGGACAGCCATGTGAGCACGCAGCAAGGAGGCTGCCGTCCGTGAGCCAGCAAGAGCTCCCTCATCAGGAACCAAGTTGGCCAGCACCTTGATCTTGGACTTCCCAGCCTCCAGAACTATGAGAAATGAATTCCTGTTGTTTAAATCATCCAGTCTAGTATTTTATTACAGCTCAAGCAAATCAAGATAGTGGTGATAGTTTCAAGGGTGTATATATATCAGACTTACCATGTTGTACACCTTAAATGTGCGCAGTTAGTTACATGGTAACCATACCCCTAAAAAGCCACTTTTTAGATTTATTTTTTTTAGTGAGCTTTTGGTTTCATTGATTTTCTCTATTACTTATTTATTTTCTATCTTATTGGTGTCTGCTCTTTGTTATTTGGGTTCATTCTGCTCTTCATCTTCTAGCTCCTTAAGGCGTAAGCTTCCATTCTAGACTTTTTCCTCCTTTCTGATAGAAGCTTCTAAAGCTATACATTTTCTTTAAGCACTTCATTAGCAGCATTGCAGAGATTTTCATAAATTGTCCTTTTGTTATCATTCAAATAAAAATATTTAAATGTTTTCAATTCAATATATAAAATTTAAATTTCCCTTTTTTTTTTTTTTCTTAATCCATGGTTTGGTTATTCTGACCAAGTTGGGTATTTCCAAATTTGGGAATTTTTCAGATATTCTTATTGATGGCTAATTTAATTCTCTTGTGATCAGAGAACATATACTGTTTGATTTTCAGTCTTCAAAATTTTTTAAAGATTTGCTTGATTGTCTAATATTTGGTCTATTTTGGTTCATCTTCAGTATGTCTGGGAAAGATCTTGTGTAGAATTAACACCTTACATCTATTACGATGGCTAAAATTAATGAACACTGATCAGATATCTTACAACCACTTTGGAATACAGTTTGGCAATTTTAAAAAATATAAGCACACCCACACGATTCAGCTGTCCCATTTCTAGGGGTGCTCTATTTGCTGTTTCTGTGAGTGTTGATTAGATATTGACTGATGTTGTCCAAGTCTTCTACCTACTTAACGATTTTCTATCTGTTTGTCCTATTGATTACTAACAGAGAAGAAATAAAATCTCCATTTATCATGGTTAAATTGTCGATTTTTCCCCTCAGTTCTGTCAGCTTTTGCTTCATGTATTTTGGACCTTTATTATCAGGCACATATGCATTTATGATTTTTTTCCTGCTATCTTGACGCTTGATTGTAGTTAAATGTTCTTTTTGTCTATAGTAATATTCCTTGTCTAAAAGTATATTGCATCTAATATCAACAAATCCACTCCAGATTTCTTATGCTTACTGCTTTCATGACGTGTCTTTTCTATCCTTTTACTTTCTTTTTTTGAAACGGAATTTCTCTCTTGTTGCCCAGGATGGAGTGCAATGGCAACATCTCGGCTCACTGCAACCTCCACCTCCTGGGTTCAAGCGATTCTCCTGCCTCAGCCTCCCAAGTAGCTGGGATAACAGGCATGTGCCACCACGACTGGCTAATTTTGTATTTTTAGTATAGACGGGGTTTCTCCATATTGGTCAGGCTGGTCTCGAACTCCCAACATCAGGTGACGGGCCTGCTTCAGCCTCCCAAAGTGCTGGGATTACAGGTGTGAGCCACCGTGCCTGGCCATCCTTTTACAGTCAGCTTATGTGTGTCTCTTATCTGTAGTAAAGTTTTTGTGTTTAAAGCACATATTTTGTTCTTTTTATTTTAGCCCATTGATCATTTCTTGAGTTTTTATTGGAGTGTTTATCTATTTATTTGTTTATTTATTGAGATGGAGTCTCGCACTGTTGCCCAGGCTGGAGTGCAGTGGTGCGATCTCAGCTCACTGCAAGCTCCACCTCCTGGGTTCACGCCATTCTCCTGCCTCAGCCTCCCACGTAGCTGGGACTACAGGCACCCGCCACCACGCTCAGCTAATTTTTTGTATTTTTAGTAGAGTTATTTCTAATTTAACTATTGATATGTTTGGATTTAAGTGCCACTTTGCTATTTCTTTTCTATTTTCTCATTTTCCTTCCTATATTATTCCTTTTATTACTTTGCTTGTGGCCATCAAATGTTTTAAGCATATCATTCAATTCCATTTTCAGGTAAAATTTCTTTGCAGTATTTTCTAGTGGTTCTGCTATAGATTATATCACGTCATCACAACCACCTTAAAGTTAATTAATATTAAACGATTTCTGAACAAAGCAGGATACTTTCAAGGGGCTATGTTCTATTCTACCAACTATCCTTTGGGCTACACACTGTTGTACAGAGATATATTAAACCTCTGTCCATTTTAAACCCTACAATACAGTGTTATAATTTTTGTTTTAAATAGCCATGTGTATTCTATAGAAATTATAAGATTATGTATACGTGTATCTATCTTTATATCATACTCGAGCATTTTTTGCAGTAAAATCCTATTAATAATAATTTTTTCTCACTTTTATTTTATTTTGTCTTTATTTCACCTTCATCTTTGAAGAATAGTTTTTCTAGATATAGAATCTTTGGATGATGGATATTTCCTTCCTCCACACTTTCACGTCTCCTCAACATCTCTGGCCTCCACTGTTTTGGATGAAAAGTCAGCCATTAATCATATCATTGTTCCTCTCTATGGAATGGGCCACTTTTCTCTTGCTGCTTTCAAGAATTTCTCCTCTCCTCACTTTGTCTTTCAGAGATTTGACTATCATATTATCTAGTTGTGGTTTCTTATGGTTATCGTATTTTGGTTTGTCGATCTGAAGAGTTCTGTAAATATTCTCGCCGGTTTGGGAAATGTTGGCCTTATTTCCTCATTTTTAAAAAATTGTCTATTTTATTTTCTCTTTTCTCTTTCTGGGGCTTTGATTTCACCCATATTGGACTCCCTGATGTTGTTCCAAAGGTCGCCGAAGCTTTTACATTTTTTCTCAATCAGTTTCCATCTGTTCTTCAGATTGGACAATTTCTATGGATCTATCTTCAGGTTCACTGATTCTTTCTTCTGCTGTCTCTGATCTGCTAGATGAATCCATCTGGTACATTTTTCAGTTTATATTCTGATACTGTATTTTTCACCTCTAGAACTTCAACTTTTAAAAACTAGTTTTCATTTCTCTGTTGAAATGTTCTACCTATTAACTCATTAATACCACACGTTTCTTTAATGATTTATACATATTTATATTAGCTCCTTTGACGTCTTTGCAAAATCCAGCATAAAAGCTGTCTCACAGTTGGTTTCCATGCCTGATTTTTTTCTTCTGAGTACAGATCACATTTGACTATTTCTCTGCATGTCTAGTACACGTTGGAGGGAGGCTTGCCAATGGAAGTAATGTTTCGTAGATGCTCTGAAATGTCTTTTATTCTTCTAAGCGTTGTTTCTTTGTTACCATAGGCAGCGAATCCTCCTGCTTTCAAAGCTGTCTTCCCTAAAAAATGCAGCAGGTGCGGTGGCTCAAGCCTGTAATCCCAGCACTTTGGGAGGCCGAGACGGGTGGATCACAAGGTCAGGAGATCGAGACCATCCTGGCTAACCCGGTGAAACCCCGTCTCTACTAAAAAAAATACAAAAAACTAGCCGGGCGCGGTGGCAAGCGCCTGTAGTCCCAGCTACTCGGGAGGCTGAGGCAGGAGAATGGCGTGAACCCGGGAGGTGGAGCTTGCAGTGAGCTGAGATCCGGCCACTGCACTCCAGCCTGGGCGACAGAGCGAAACTCCGCCTCAAAAAAAAAAAAAAAAAAAAAAAGCAGCAGGTGGCCTCGCTTTGGCTTCCTTGTTGCTGTTTTGTGAGAGAGAGGGAGGGTGTGACTGTGTTTATTTTTCATCTTGGTCCTACCTATTAATCCTACAGCTGTGTGGTTTAGTGATCATGGTTTAGTGATCAGCTATGTATCCGGGCAGTGTACAGATTTGGGGGCTCACCCCCTCTCTAGGTGTCTTGCTGCTGAAACTACCCCTTAATTCTTAGTTGCTCTGGCATCCCCAGTTTCTTCCTTCTTTAAGGCAGAACAACTTCCTCTCAGTCACAGGGACCATGTAGGCTGGGGAGTGAACTCTGCCAAGGGCACAGAATTCTTCTGAATATCATCAGAAGCCTTTTCTGTCTAATTTCCGCCTCATTCCTCCAGGTCCTCCAAGCTCGTTCACTTGGGGAGTCAGCCAGGGATCTGGGCAAAGTTTGACTCTGACTTGAGGTCTCAGCCCATCTGTGCTTTCTTGCTTACAGACCTTCTCCATGCACTTCCAGCTGCTCTGTGTCGTCTGCCCCCTGAAGCTGCAGAGCCGGTGGTTTTCTTATCACTACAGGTGGGGTTTTAGGAGCTGCCTGTAGCCAGAAGCCGGCAGTCCTTCCCCAGTGCAGCTGCATCCCTTCCGAAATCACTTCGCAGTTTCTTCCTGCCCTTGTTCAAGTTCCAGTGCTTCCAAATGGCGGCTTTGGATAATCGTGTTGGGATGTCACTGTCGTTGCCTGTGAGTGGAATCTCCTGCCCCATCGTCCACAGCTTCCCCTGCTCATTCCTTCCTGAACCTCCAAGAGTCCACTAGGATATATTGTTTTTTCTGTCTTGTTTTTCAGTACTTCCTTGAGTAAGACCCTTTTGGGAATCTTTTTCTCTCCATTTTCATTTTTCTGCCAGTATCTTTATTTTACCCTCCTGTTAAAAGTATATCTTTGCAGATGTGAAGTTTTAACTCGGAAGAGGTTGATTTTTTTCTACCCGGAACTTTCCAACTGCTCTGCTGCTGTCTGGCTCTCAGTGCCCATCAGTCATCTGGAAACATCCTGTGCTCAGTGTTTGTTCCCTGAGTCTGCAATCTGGGCTGAGCTTGACTGGGAGTTTCTTTGGTTGATCCTGGGGAGCTCCCTGATGGCCGTCTACTGGTGGGTGGGCCGGGAACCGGCTGGTTTTTGACAGCCCCGCTGGGAGGGCGGGGGTGGCTGGCCCCTTCCTGGGTTCCTTCCTCATGCAGCCTCACCTCGGCTGGTTCACTGGGTGGCAGGGCCCGAGGGCCATCCAGCGGGAGGACACGCTAATGAGCCAGGACTGTAAAAATGTCTGCCTGTATCACATTTGCTATTGTTTGATTGGACCGAGGAAGCCATGCAAGCTCACAGGCGGTGTGGGACGACACAGGGAGGTGTGAGCCAAAGCGGCTGTCACAAGGACAATCTGCCGCGGAACACCTGGCACCAGACACTCACATCTCCAAACACTCCTCCAATTAGGCCCTCACCTTCTGGTCTGTGGTCCCACCTTGTCTCCTCATACGCCTGGCTCATTGTCTGCAAGGGTCCAGGGTGGTGCCGCCATGCCATTCGGCTCCATCACTCATGCCAGTCTGCCCCACGGTACATGCACCCATGGAACCTCCCGGATCCCACACACTGGGCAGGCAGGAGACCATCTGATCACAGAGGAGCTCATCGTGCTGCACACACAGCTGACCCTCCTTCACCCAGAGCCCTGTCAGTGGGCTGCTGCCACCCCTCCAGGGAGCCTCAGCTCTGAGATTTTGGGACACAGAACCCAGTTGTCCTATGGCTCTTCAAATGGAATCTTCCTGAAAACCCAGCACCCCGCCCATCGTGCACAAAGCCACAACGCCTAAGTCCTCGCCTGTTGAAAGTTTATTCCAATAAACACTGGAGCGTCCCCTTAACAAATCAACTCCAGGCTCTGGCAAGACAAAGGCGCTGTGGTGCCTTCTCGAAAAGACTTTATCTCCTGGTGAAGAAGAAGGACTTGAGGACATAAGGCCTCTCTGAAGCTGGATAGAGAGAGACGAGGAAGGAGAAGAGAATCCTCATGGCATCAACATTCAAGAGGCTGGAGCAAGAGCCATTCCCTGAAAAGCCACAAATGGAATTTACACCAAGAAATCGGGTTGAATTTAGACCATGTGATAGGGAGGGTTGTAACGTCCAGGGAGCGTTTGAAGAGAGAGATGAAATAGGAGGGAATTAATCCGAGACGTTCGAGGGAAGATGGCTGTACAGGAAGCTGATATTCACTGGGTCCGGTGTTGGGCCTGAGTCCTCCTCCTGCTCTGCTGGGGTTGCAGTTCCCGGCTCTCTTGCTCTCTGGGAGCTCCCCCTTGTTCTCGTTCTTAAAGCCTCCTTTGCAATTTTTTTAAAATTTATTTTTATTGTGTATATCTAAGTTGTACAATATGATGTTTGTTTTGATATACAGAAACACAGAGAAATGCTTACTACATAGAAATTAACATACTCATCACCTCCACAGTCACACTTCCTGCGCACCTCTGTGTGTGTGTGTGTGTCTGTGTCTGTGTCTGTGTGTGTGTGTGTGTGTGTGGCAGGAGGACCTAAAATCGACTGTCTCAGCACATTTTCAGTATGCAGAATAATGTTATTAACTTGGTTGTTCCTCCTGCTGTACATCAGATTTCTAGGCTTGGAATGGACAGGACACAGGATGACTCACACAGACCCATCTATACCACACACCTTCCTCAGAAGGTGGGCCCTTGGCCTGGGGCCCTCCAGGGTCTGTGTTCACTGTGACCCTCGCAGAGCTGGGCACTCTTCTCATTTGCCACCTGGCCTTTGATCTGGTTGGGGCCTGTCTCTCCAGAGGTAGGAGACAGGACTTCTCTTTGAATTTCTCTCATTTCAGGCAGGTTAGCCTTGGCTTTGTAGAGCCAGGAAATGATTGAACAGAGCCCAGGAGGTGACATGAATGGTCCTCTCATTTCTGCCAGATCACCTTGGGCCGTCTTCAGGCATCTCTGAGAGATGCCCACACACTCCGAGTTGCTCCTTTCATATGTGGGTCTCAACCCACCCATGGTGTGTCCCGCCTGTGTCCTGGAGGGAAGGGAGGCAGTGTCCACAGGGCCTGGGCCCTGGAGCAGCCAAGGGAACCCACACCTGAGATTCTCCTGGGAGCTGGACCCTGGGCCCTGGTGATGCTGCTGCAGTGGCCTGTGGACAGAGATGCTGGTGGCCACACAGAAATCCACAAAGAGTGAGAATGCAGGTGTAGACAGGATTTCCAAAAAGCTCAACAGACAGGAAAGCAAACAAGAGCTCAAAATTCTACCTCCAACATATCCTTAGCAGGCGATTCCAGGCTACGGTCTGCCACAACTGGATTAGGATAAGTAATGCTGTGGCAGGTGGTGACCCCCGAATCCTAGAGGTTTCAGCAAAAAAGATCTGCTCCTGCCCTCATTTCCGTCTGTGGCAAGTGGCCAGCCGGGCCCTGCCACCCATGCTCTGGCTTTGGCCAAGCAGCCCCCACGTAGGATGTGCCTGTTTGGTGGCAATGGGCAAAGAAAAAATACAAGACAGCAGTAGGAACTGATGGCTGTAAAAACTTCTGCTCGGAGGCCCTTGAAATCACTGCTGCTAACCCTGCACTGATCAAGTCTCAAGGCCAAGGGCCAGGTCAACAGGGCTGGGATGAGCGCGCGGGGTCTTGATGACTGCAAACCACCGTCCTCCCAATACGGGGACATGATGGATGGCTCCATCCATGGATGGAACATGACTCAGACCTCCAGGCTGCACAGGTGACTGACAGGCAACAAGAGGGGGCGTGGCCAGGAGAAAGAGCAGGCGGAAAGGCTAGTTCCAGTTACAAGCACACAAACATACACGTGTGTGCCATGCCAGGGTGTGGAAGCTGTGGGTATTTTCTTCCATTGTGCGTCCCTTGATGATGGCATAATTTTGTTCCCACAACAAGTAAAAGTGAAAGGGGAGATATCTACTGGGGATGACAGGCAGCCATGGCCAGAGCTGCCAGTTGGAACAGGAGGTCTGGGTACCGCCCTAGGTGCTGCTGTGTGCAGGGTGAGCTGCCACTCCAGCATCATAATTTATGTCCAGTAAGGTGGACAACGTGTCGAGTGGTGTGAGGAAGCTTGTGACCAGTGCCTCAGCGCTTCAAAGGAAGAAAGGCCCGCAGAGGACACAGCAACAGAGGCCAAGACTTGGCCAGCGGGGCTGGGGTCAGGGTCCTGAAGTCAACAGAGCCCCTTTTACAGCCACCGCATACCCTGCACACAGACCCGGGCGACTGGCTGACCCGGGGCCATCCACTCCCCTAGAGACCCCGGTCCCAGGGAACCTGCCCATCCTGTCCTCCACCAACCCTGGCCAGTGCCCACCGACAGCCACAAAGCCGACTCACAACTGTTCTCTCTTCTAGAGTCTGACGTCCACGGACACGGGGAGTGACGGAACGAGGCACGGTCGTGATGTAAGGCCGGCTCTGGAGCCAAAGGCTGGGGTCTGTGTGTCTACAACAGGCTCCGGTGACTGCTGGGCCAGCCCCAAGGTTGGCCCCTGGCAAACCCCTAGGATGGCACTTTCTGTCTCCCAGAAAGGGGTACTCAGACATTTATGGGCAGATGAAGCAGGTTTGTGGTATTGGAAGCAGCTTTCAGCAGTCCTCCTCTCCTCCTCCTCCTCCTCCCTCTCCTCCTCTTCTCCTCCATCCTCACTTCTTCCTCCCCCTGCTTCCCTCTTGTCTCCCCCCTCCTCCCTCTCCTCCTCTCCTCCCCAAAATCCCCTCCTCCTACTCCCCCTGCTTCCCTCTTCCTCCCCCCTCCTCCCTCTCCTCCTCTCCTCCCCAAAATCCCTCCTCCTCCTCTCCCTGCTTCCCTCTTCCCTCCTCCTCTCCTCTCCCCCTCCTCCTCCCTCTCCTCACATCCTCTTCCCTCTCCTCCCCTCCTTCTCCTCCTCCCTCCTACCCTCCTCCTTCTTCTCTCCCTTCCTCCCTTGTCCTCCCCTCCTCTTCCCCCTCCTTCCCTTCTCCTTCATCCTCCTCTCCTCCTCCCCATCTTCTCCCCTCCTCCTCCCCCTTCTTCCGCCTCCTCCTCCTTCCCACCCTCTATCCCTCCTCCTCCCCCTTCTTCTGCCTCCTCCTCCTTCCCACCCTCTATCCCTCCTCCTTCCTTCTCCTTCTTGCCTCTCTCCAAAGAATCCTCCAAGCCCTGCTATGACCACACCCAGCCAAGCCTGTACCAAAGCTTTCCAGTTTCCTCACAAAGCGAGAGGTGTGCCTCCTCCCTGGGAGTTTCTTTCTCCTCTTCTGTTGCTGCGGGGCTGAGCCCATTGCTGCTATCCTGGGAGAGGTCACCGCCTGCAGTGCAGTGGTTTGGTCGGGAGGCTCAGGACCAAGACTTTCCTTCTGGCCAAGCTTTGCCTGGGTCCCTCTGAGCCTTCATCTCCACAAGGCCTCGACCTGGGGCTTCTGCTCGTCCTTGCCGAGTCCAGCGTTAGCAAAACTTCTGCTGGGTCAGTGTAGGGAGGAGCCTACCCTTGTAGCTGCAGGGCAGGTTCCTCCTCTCCCACCTTCCGTGTCTGTCCTCTGCCTGCTTTCCTCGAGAATCTCGCCAGCTCACTAGGCCTCCAGGCTGGTCACTGTGTCTCCAGATCCCTGCATCTCCAGGCCCCTTGGTCTCCGGGTCCCTGCGTCTCCAGATCCCTGCGTCTCCAGATCCCTGCGTCTCCAGGCCCCTGCATCTCCGGGCCCCTGCGTCTCCAGATCCCTGCGTCTCTGGGTCCCTGCATCTCCGGGTCCCTGTGTCTCCGGGCCCCTTGGTCTCTGGGTCCCTGCGTCTCCAGATCCCTGCGTCTCCGGGCCCCTGTGTCTCCGGGCTTCTGTGTCTCCGGGTCCCTGCGTCTCCGGGCCCCTGCGTCTCCGGGTCCCCCAGATCCCTGCGTCTCTGGGCCCCTGCATCTCCGGATCCCTGCGTCTCCAGATCCCTGTGTCTCTGGGTCCCTGTGTCTCTGCTTAGTCATTTCCCATCCACGCAGCCCCACTCTGTGAAGCAGAGCTCCCACTGTGGCTGGTGGATTGGAGCTGAGCCCATCTCACGCCACGTCCTCAGTCCTGGCCCCGTGGCAGCGGTGCTGATGAGGTCCTCCTTGCCGATTTCACAGGTGTCAGAATGGCCTTTTCCTCAGCACCCTTCCATGGGTGGGATCAGATGCTCCTTCCTCAGCCTTCGTCTTCCCACTTTGAGACGGGACTGGGTGGCGCTGGCCTGCAGGAGCCAGGTTCCCGCTTCCTTTACCCCAGAAGGAAGCCCTCCGAGCGAGTGTCCACGGAGGAAGAGGGTCTGTATCCCAAGCTGACCCATCTGGTGCTGGCCTGGCCACCTCACCGCCCACCCAAGAAAGAGACTAATCCCCTCCCTGCAGCATTGGCGGGAGGAACAAATGAGGTGACATTTGTAAAAGGAGAAAGTAAATGTGGCTATTATTTCAGAGTAATTCTATGAGTCTGGGTGCAGAGGGAAGAAATAAGATATTTAAGATGCAGGACGTCCTCTAAGGAAGCCAACGGCCCCATAGAGAAGGCACACGGGGCCACAGCGCAAGACAGGCCAGTGTGCGGAAGGAGCAGAGGACTGTCCCCGGGAACTGAGAGGTTCCCCAGTGTGAGGGCTGAGCAGAGCAGTGCTGTGGAAGGGGAGACCCCCTCGAACTGGGGACCTGCCGGAGCGGGGATGAAGTGCCGCGTGGTCATAGGCTGCACCTGAGGCCTGGGGTGGCTAAGACACCAAAGGACCTAGACTTCCGGAAGCAGCCCCAGGGCTCTGAGTGCCCACCTCACCCAGAGCTCGCCGAGAACCTGGAGATGCCAATAGAGGCAGCACCTGCAGAGGGCCGGACACAGGGTGTGTGGGAGGTGCCAGGCCTGGCCACGCCCCCCCATCCATGTCTCCCGTCTCCCCGGGGCAGGCAGCCTCCTAGGAGCTGGGAGACGGGGAGGCAGCCCTGGGCGCTTGGGACAGATGCTGGTGGAGACGGCGGCTGGGACAGATGCTCGAATGAGGGCACTGGCACCCGGGGTGTAGGGAAGACTGCTGTCCTTGCTGTCCCTGCTGTCCCAAGATCCTGGCTCCCCACTGATCAGCCTGGTGCCCACCCAGCCCCATTCCTCATCCCGACAAGGTGGACACATGGCCCACCTCCCTTGGACCCTCCTCCGGCCCAGTGTGGCTTCTCTGGGGACAGGCCCACCTGGGCCATCTAAGGCAGCAGGGCAGTGGCCCATGAGGCTCTCTCAGGCTCCCAGGGGAGAGTCTAGGCTGGGGCTGGGGGCTGCTGGGGGCCTCGGCCCAGTTTCTGCTTGGGGACCCCCTACCCAGGAGCAAGAGCAGGCCCCACCTCTGCCTGCTGAGGGGACCACTAGGGTCTCTGAGATTTCGGTTCCTTAAATTCTATGGGGGCGCTGACTTCTCAAGCTGACGGTCAGCTCAGGATCAGAACAGCAGAGCGGTCATGCTCTGGATGTCAAGGCTACAGGTCACTGCGGCATCTAAAACACTAGGCAGGGGAGGACGCAGGCAGTGCAGGACCCTTAGGGGGAACTCAGGCAGTGAAGGAGGCCCCGATGGGGTACGCGGGCAGTTCAGAACCTCTGGTGTGGGGGGACATGGGGGGACATGAGCAGTGCAGGACCCAGCGGTGAACGCAGGCTGTGCAGGACCCTGGGTCGGGGGAACATGAGCAGGACAGGACCCTGGGGGAAAACTCGGGCAGTGCAGGACCCTGGGTCGGGGGAACTCGGGCAGTGCAGGACCCAGGCTGGGGGAACTCGGGCAGTGTAGAACCCGAGGTGGGATGGGGGTGGTGCAGGACCGGGGGGCACTGGGTGGGCTCCAAAAGTCCCGGAATAGCCTGTTTCAGCTGCCCTCTGACACACACTCTGGGCACAACCTTGGGGGCTGCTTGACCTTGGGGACCACTCCCCATTCCTGAGGGACCTCTGAACTCAGGAATCCTGCAGGGCTCCTCCCTGGACCCTTGACTCAGAAAGTGCTCAGTACATGAGGGTGCTGGTGAAAATAAGCACACATATGCACACACACACGTGCACACACACATGTATACACATGCACACACATATGCACACAGATGCACACACATATACCCACACACACGCACAGTCGTACACATGTACACACCCATATGCGCACACACTGCACATGCACAATACACACCACAGGCACACACACATTCACACGCACACACTTGCACTCCAACAGGGCCCTTCTGCCTGCTTCCCGCTGCTGCTGGGCCATTGCCACCCACACCAGCCTGCTGCCTCCTGCCTTGTTCTTATCCACACGGGTCCCCATGTGGATCCATGCCCCTGGGACGTGGACCCCATCCACAGT